AGCTTCCCCGTTCCGTTATCCGCTTTCACCGCGGCACTGCGCTCCGCTGTGCTCCGTTTCAATCAGGCTGTACAGCAGGATTTCCATAACTCTGATTGCTTCATGCTATAGATCGTTGGAAAGCTGCTTTTATGTACTTTTAGGAACCACTGAAATTTTTGAAATCTGGTCAGCCATTCAAAAGTTATAAAACTGAGCATTTTGGATGACAAACTCGGCACGTCTCTGAATCTGTGTTGTGATTCGTTGCACTCAAGACAGGGAATCCCGTGGCGACTGTAATGTATTGTATATGCACGAAAAGCCCCATTTTTAATCTTTTCAGCACTTTTTGAATTTTACAGATATCTTGAACGGTTCAGGAATTATGGTAATGAGAAGCATGTCCAATTCCGTCTGCGGCGACAGGTTGGTAATAAGAGTATTGTGGCATTAACAGAGGGGTGCCGGCGGTCAGGGCTAGGGGCCCCCCCAACGCAAGGGGGCCCCAGGCGGCCACCGACCTATGCCTAATGGTAAAACCACCTCTGCCTTTTAAAACATCTCATTGGCTTCCTGATTAACCAGCAGTAAGAGATGTTTTGTCCATTTCTTTATCCATGAACAGCTGGAAGAGATCCACATAAGGTCCAGTGTCTTCTTGGAAATGGACATCCAGCTCATGGACACGTTGCACAAACCCCTCTGTCAGGATGCATGCAAAAACAATGGTCATTGTTGAAGAGCTACCTGTAGGGCTGGAGACTGCAGGAAGGATGAAGTGTTCCAGCAGAAGAAGGTTGGAGAAAGGGAAGAACCAGGAAGTTATCAGGAAGGTGTGCAAGTTTTTCCTTCACCTGTTAACCCTAACGCCCCCAAATGGGGGCCGTTACAGTTTCATGTCCTAAACATCTACAACTGTCCACATTCTCCAAACACAACTAAAACTACAATCTAACAGTTTAGACGGGAAACAAGGCCATCAATGATGCAACGATATTTGAACTTTATTTTAGAAGAGCATCTGGCCTTCACTGGTGTGTGCTGGAAAAAAAACCTTGAACAAATTTAGTTGAGGACCCCTGAAATAAATAAAAACAATAGACTAAATTTCCTAAATGGAATTTAAACTCACAA